ATTCAAATTTCCCGCCAGCAGTGCCAGTGGTCCATCCGGCGACGCCGACGCCTTCCCTCCCCGCACGAGTGGTGCTCTCTAGCGTCCGTCGCGCACACCACGCCAGCACAACTCGAACGCGGAGTAGCGACAGTACGCGCCTCGTACCCAAAATTAATGAAAATGGTGGTCGTCTCCGTGGTCTTTGCACAACGCACGGTGACATACCCCATCCCATACCCCTGTTGAGGTGGCCCCGTCGCTGGTAAAACAAGTAGTGTGCTCAATTTGCACACCAAGGTGCAAGTTATGATTTTGCACACATTACGTGGTGTTTCACTCAGGTTGCACACTTGATGAGGTGTGCAAATTTTAGACGCGTTTTGCAAACGTTGAAATTCTACACATCTGGACACACACACAGTTCTATGCTATCAATAGGAATCATATGGTGTGCAGCTGCTATACGTTTTGTTGGAAGTGTCGAAAGTTGAAACACCAATTGACGTATAACCTAGATGTTAATCACCACCATGTGTCTAGGTAATGCACACTTGAACTTAAACATTAATTGAAGTGCAAAATTAAACACTTGTCTCACCAAGTGGTTGCCCACCTAAGGAATATATAAGTAACAACAACAACACCCGTCGTTGACACGACACGCCTCCTCAGATCATCCCGTGGTGTGAGACAGCCTTTGTGCGCTTTATTATTGCGATTGTATTGCCGCGCGCGGCTACGCGCCTTCGTGTTTGTCTATGTAGTGCATCACACACTGGGGGCCGGTGGTGAATTCCTCCCCTTATCACCCCCCCAAAACCCCCACCCCCCCCCCCCCCCCCCCCCCCCCCCCAAATCCCTCATCCCTTCCCTCTCCTCCTCCCGCGCAATCAGATGCACTTGCGGTAGGCTGGTTGACGGGATGCCCGCCCCCCTGGCCGCCCCGGGCGGACCGCGCGCGTCGCGGTGCTGTCTATGGCCATGGCCCCGACCAAGCGCAAGCGCTCGAGGTGCTCCGCGTGGTTCCGTGACCACAGTGTGACCACGCGCCTGACTGCCGGGTCAGCGCCGTCAATTACAGGGTGGGTGATCCTTGCCGTATTTTTTAAATGCTTATACTGTACCGGATTCACTCGTGCGGGCGGGCTTGCCTACCGTCGCTCGCCAGGGCGCCTTACGGGGCCGTGCGAGTATGCAACCCGTCCGCACCTAAGAATCCGGTACAGTATAAGCATGCAAAAAATATGGCGCGGATCACCCACCCTGTAGGACTTGGCGCGGCGCCGACAGCCTTTCTTATCGGTTTGGCCGGTGGCCGCTGTCAGGACCAATATGTCACGGTGACGAGATCCCCAAGTAATCCGCGCCCCCTTGCTGCCTGTTGCGCAGCGCCGGCCACCCCGCTGACGTGGTGCTGCAGGGGGTGCAACGCCCGAGCAACGCCCCGCACACCGTGGAGCCGTGTGCACCACGGCACGGCGCAGCTACAGCGAGTGGCGTCGCGTAAGAGATGCCAGCGCCGCTACAGCGCTCGGTGACGCACTGGCTGGAAACTGCCGCGCCGCGCACGCTTTTGCTTTTCCAAGGAATCCCGCTCATCGGAGATTGACGCGCTGAGCGAAGTGCGAATCATGGAGGCAGGGAGTCGAAAGCGAAGGTCGCGACAGCGGCGAGCAGCGGCTCAAACCGACCCGAACGGCTGTTATCAGGTGGCATGTCATTATTGGTTCGGGTTGCAAGATTTATTTGTCCTTGTTTTAAGAGAGCCGTCTCAGGGGCTTTCGCATTCATGTTTATACTGCCCCCGCGTGTGCCGGGTTGTGGCGGCCCACGGCACGTCCGTGGTGCAACGTGGTACACTCTTACCCACCGCGACGTCCAATTCGGGCGCGCTCTATTTTTCCCACAGGCATCCCGAGCCTCCCAGAGAGGTGCATACCGACCCGCCCCACCGGCCCCACCCGGGCGGCCGCGCCTCAGGGCGAGGTGTCCCGCCGCGCCACCGCGGTTCGGAGCGTGAAAAAAAACTTTGAGTTAAAAAAAATATCGGGAGAAGACACGAAACAATGCATAAATAAACGGTTTCTTGCATTAATTAAAACTAGACCGCG